TTGTGTGTGTGGTGGTGGTGTGGGGGTGGGGTGGTGTATATGTATATATAAAAAATAAATATGCACACAGTACCAGTCTTGATTAATATTTTTCATCTGGTTTCTTTCTTGATTTGAACCTAGACTGTTTTCTTTGAAACTGTATTTTTGAACTGTCTTACTCCTCCCATAATGCTTTAAACAGTCTTTGTAGTGGTTTGGATGAGTGAGTCCATGGCAGTAAACGTGTGCTTGAGGTAGCTGCTTTAATCCTGCTAGGCAGAACAGCCTTATATCTGAAGTGCAGGTGAATGTGGTGAGGTGAATAAACAGGAGATTGCTTCCTTCAATTTCCTGGAAAGGATGAAAAATATTTTTAAGATGATGTGAAGGTGGAATCTGCAGTTAAAAAGTGGTAGCAAACATATTTCATTAGGTGGTTAGACATTGATATAAAACTACAACAGAATCAAGGAAAATACCTAAATATTGATTGGAAGAAAACAATTATTTGGAAAACTGAAGGTTGAAAGAAAAGGGAAGAGCTATTGGAAGGAATAGGCTTGAAACCATTACCTTCTGAACTGGATATTTCATAACAGTATCTAATTTTGTGGGTAGGTGAAGAGGAGGAAAGTTATCGTGTGGAAGTGATACTGAAGACTTTTAGGAAGAAACATTTTTGCTGTTCCTTGTGTGGGGTTCAAATGCAGCTGTCTATGGCTGCTTTGCATACCCTGGCATCTGGTTTCCACCTACATCCCGAGTGATTTGGATCTGCTATAGATTTTGTGTTGCATTTGCTGGCTGCCTGTGCCTACTTTGGCCATCTTAGGCTGTCTAAAATGGCAGTAGATATCTGTGCACAGGCTTTCCTTGTGTGCAAGCCTAGATGTTCACACTGAAAGTAGGTGTTTTACACAGCAAAAATACTGTGAAAAACCTTAGTGCTTTACTTGAGTTTTAGTTGTACTGTTTCCTATGTACCACCAATGGCTCCTAGTCTACTATAATCACCTAGGATGGCAGTTTCTCTTGAACTATTTTATATTTACTATTTATTTTACATACCTGTTCATTCTTTTAAGCATCTTTAGTCTTCCCAGAGAGCCAGAACTGATCCAGAATTTGGCGGTTCTTATAACCAAAGTAGGTTGTTAACGGGGAGAATTTTTGTCATAAGTCAAATTTTCAGTAAAATAACCTCTTTAAAGACTAGGTTGTGGCAGGGCTGCTTCTGACTATCTGACTTACTGGCTTGTTGCTTCCTTGTACTCCCTGTGTCTACCTTAATTCTTTGCTTTGCATTTCAGTGAGCCTTTTGGATAGGTATCATCTGACTTTTTTATTAAAATGCATTATTTATGATGCTTTTCTACTTTATTAGAATTTTTTTTTCTTCTTACAGTAGGGTCAGTCTCATTTTGTAAGAGTGTTTTTTTCCTTAACTGTATCAGGACAAAACAAAGTCAAGAATAAAGAGGTGGGAGAAACGGAGATATCTCTTTTTTTTAAATGTTTGTCAGCTTGAAAGTTGATGTTGGATAGTCTGCTTTTCCTGGGCTTAGTCCTCAGTCTCTATTTATGCATTCAATCTTGTGATGCTTTGAGAAATAGAATAGAAATGAGGTGAATGTAAAGAAGTTATTTCTTCTTGGGCACCTCCCAGCATTTTGGCATCCTGAAATAATCAGTGATGGATACTGTGGCTCTTCTGGAAAAGACAAAGTTCGCAGGTGTGTTTTGTATCGAAAGGCTGCAAGTTAGGTTGAATGTACTAAATGAATAAAACATAGAAATTTAAGGAGTTTTTTTTCTTTGCAGGAGTGTTTAAAATTTCATGGTGTGTTTCGTGGATCAGCTTGTGGCCATCACGGACCATATATTCCAGATGTTCTCTTCTGGTCTGTCATACTATTCTTTACAACATTTTTCCTCTCCTCTTTCCTTAAGCAATTCAAGACCAAACGCTATTTCCCAACTAAGGTAATTCTGGTTAGACACTATTGTTATCTTGTGATAAATACCTTAGTATAACTTCATGGAGTTGAATTTTTTATTTTGCTTCAGAACTTTTTATTGAGAATTTTCTTTTAAGACAGAAAAAGAAATTAAAACCAGAAAATTAGCTAATAATTCCAAAAGTGAAGACATTAAATAAATTGGCTGCTGAAGATTCAGTGCTTACTCTCTACTTTCCTATAGTTACAACAAGATGTTCTAAACATGAGATGATGTAAGTAGTCTGTCGCCCCGTATTAATGGGTATTGCCAGGTATCATTTGGAGAGATAATATTGCTGCTGTGTTCTTCACCTAGCTGTACAAAACAATTGATTGCTTTCTCCAAAGTGCTGACATGTCAAGGGTTCCGAGCGGTTCCTCAGGGGATTACTGTTTCTGATAGAGGTTAATATAATGATTATCCTTAGAGGGATTTACGCAACTTACTTCTGCTAGCTAAAATAAAGCGGTTAGATCTTCTCTAAACCTCAGCTCATCCCTACAATGTGTTCCTAATGCTTAATAAAGTCACCTTGGATAACCCGAATCTGTTACAAATTATCCCCCTCCTATCTATTAAAACATCAAATGTATAAATACTGATTTCAGAAGAATTCAATGAAGTTATTGAATTAAGCTACAAGAGACTAGCTGTGATGGCCCAGCCTCCCAGTAGGGTTGAGAGGACAGGAAGATGAGGAAGGAGTTATTTTAAGTGATTTGCTGCTTGCAGTAGGTTATTTTAAATGAGATAATTGGATGAACAGTTGTACAGAATACTTACCGTCCTGCAACTTCATGCTATGCTGGCAGGCAGCTTAAGTTCTAAAATAAAAAGAGAAAATGTTCAGTTATGTAGTATAATATAAATAGACTGTACTATTCATAGGGGACAAAATTGTGCTTCTATACATGCGAATTATAATGCTGAAGAAGCAAGAGTTAACACAAGTCTTTTCTTTATAGGTGCGTTCTACCATCAGTGACTTTGCAGTATTTCTGACAATAGTTATCATGGTTTTGATTGACTATCTTGTAGGAGTACCTTCTCCTAAGCTTCATGTTCCAGAGAAATTTGAAGTAAGAAATAAAACCTTTTAAAAACTTAACTTTTTAAATGCTTGCAGTTTCATAGACAGGAGAATGAAATTGCATAGAAACAGAAATTTATCTTTCTTACTTACAATGTAGTTGATGAAGTAATCTTCCTTTTCTGCTTTGGATGCATGTCTCGTCTGACAGAAGAGACTATGCTTTATATTTTAGTACCACTGCAAAGGAAGTGCTCTTTTGTGCATATGTGCAGAAATGAAGGAATGGAATGGATTTGTTTTAATTTTTTCGATATAAGTGTCACATTCACGTGTAACAGCTAAATCAGTCTTTTTGTCAAAGCCATTGGGAAAAAAAGAAAAACCTAAACACATATTTAAGAGACTGTTGATCTGTTCATTGCAGCTGTTTGTAGTAATAAAATCTGCATTTTATTTTAGTCATTTAATTCTTATTGTTGATGTTTGTTTTTTTCAGCCCACCCGAAAAGACCGAGGATGGTTCATAGATCCTCTTGGAAGCAATCCTTGGTGGACCCTCTTGATAGCTGCTGTTCCTGCTTTACTCTGTACTATTCTCATTTTCATGGATCAACAAATAACAGCTGTTATTATAAACAGGAAAGAGCATAAGCTGAAGGTAAAAGTCATTTTCACAAAACTCTAATGTTGTGAAAGTCAAGTTTATTTTAAATCAGATTCATTCCGCAAGTCTGTGAAACATTACCAACAGCTACTTAATGAATGTATGTATTGACTAATAAAGAACGAATATAATTTTGTGGACACTCTCAAAGTATCTAACTTTTATAGTTATCTGTTATTTACCAGCTAAGTTCTAATTATGGTATCATATAAATACAAAGCTTATCAAATTCTTTGTTTGCTCAATTTTACAGAAAGGCTGTGGTTACCATCTTGATCTGCTGATGGTTGGTGTTATGCTGGGGATATGTTCTATCATGGGCTTACCATGGTTTGTTGCTGCAACTGTCCTGTCTATAAGCCATGTTAATAGCCTGAAAGTTGAATCTGAATGCTCAGCACCAGGAGAGCAACCAAAGTTTTTGGGAATCCGGGAGCAGCGAGTGACAGGATTGATGATTTTTGTCTTGATGGGGCTGTCAGTGTTCATGACCTCTGTGTTAAAGGTAAAAGACAGTTTTTCCAAAATATTTGTATTTTCTTTGTGCTTTTGATTTTGATACTGTGATTTAACATTTCATAATGTTAGGAAGTTTTATTATGTTAAGTAAAATATGCCTGGACTCATTCTCAAATTGACTTCTTAACAACAGGTGTTGAATAGAAACAGTCGGGGGAAGATGTAAGAAAACAAAATCTGAGCAAGCTAGAAATGTAGTGTGTAGTGAAGAAAGCAACCTTTGTCCGTGTTACCTGATTTTTCTTGCCAGCTATTTTTTAGTTTCTCAAGTCCATGTTACCTAAAACAGTTCTTCTGTAATTTTTATGTGAGTACAGAGAGAAAAGGAGTGTGATAAAGATATAAAGTTACTTGAGCAGAAGTAATATCATATAGCAGAAGAAACAGAAACATCTGGTTTAATAAGTGATCCTCAGAAGTGACATTGTTCACTTCTCATAATTATCTTCAGCTTATTAAACTTTTTGATGTTTAAAGTGTCAAGATTATCTTATGCATCATCACAGTGTAATAGAAATTTTGCAGGTCATATTGTGGCCTCAGTTTACACTTTGCCTCTTAATTTATATCCATAGTGCCCTTCCTAAGACTTTACTGGAAGAAAATCAATCAGTTCGGTTGGCTTTTTGCTCAGATTTGAGTAAAATCTGTTCAACTTATGCTTTGTTGTTTCAAATCCAATAGGTAAAAGGAGAAATGAAGGGGGGGGAGGTCTTTTTATTGCCAAAATAGCAGATATGGTATAAATTGTATAATTGCTAATACCTTTGAAGAACTTTGTAGAAGTCTGTTTAAAGAGACATCACAAGCTATTTCACAAAAAGGTAGCTTCTAATGACTGTTTAAGTTTAGATAATGGGAAGAAATAAACCTATGAATGCACAGCTATAGTTTAGTAATAAGAGCTAAATTATTATAAATTCTTAATAGTTGACCATTTGTAAGTGTTAAAGAATGTAAAGGTCTGAAAGCAATAAGGCAGTAGCAGTTATTAAAAATGAGTATTCCGATCTGACAATCTCTGGTTGAAAGGCTACCAAGAGCTCAGCTTTATAATGCAAATGACAGAATCAGAAATATTGAAATAGATTTATTGTTGCTCAGAAACGAAAGATAAAGGTGCTGATTGCTGAAGCTAGAGGTTTACCCCATATTTTAACAGCTGATTCTTAGAAACTAATACTTCTATTTTTTATGGAACCAAGGGTAATAGGAATGGTATTAGTACTGTTTGCTCTTTATGAAATGTTTTTCTTTTTCAATGTGAATGGCTGTTATTGTCTGAAAGAAGGAGGGAGAACAAAGCCTTGCATCTGTAGGTTGCTGTGCTTTTGTTCCATATATGGATTTATACCAATTTAATGCAGTAGAAGTTAACATAAATGAAATACTAGCATGTCAAATTACAGAGCTTACAGTGAAGACACTAGCTTTTCAATGTATCTATATGTACACACATATGCACACATATATAGAATCAT